GGGATTCACACTGCAGAAAATGTGCAAAATACAAAAGAAAGGTTTTAGATAGAAACTTTGAACTACATAAAAGAATGAAGGATTAAAAAGGGAAAGATTTTGGGTAAATATGAAAGAATAATAACTGTATAATATAATGGTAACTATGTTCTGAATAACATATGTGGAAGGAAACTGTATGATAACAAAAACATGATGTGGAGGGGTCAAAAAGAGCTAAACTTTTAAAAGTTTCTTGCATTTTTCTGAATATGATAAATGTAAAATCAAGTAGACAATAATAAAACAAGTTTGCACATCTATGATATCCAGTAAAAGAACAATACAAAGGTTTAAAACATCTCAGTAAAAATAGTTATTCAATTTTAATTTTCTAGCCACATATGTCAGAGATACCCATGGATTTTACCTGTCCCCACTTTGCAACCACTGTGAGACGCAAGCCCACCAAGCCTGTGTTTACTCCTGAACTCCACACATTCCAATCAATGGCATTTAGGGTCTCCTGGCATTACTGCTACATCAGATCCTGTATCCAATACCTCTTTTAGCTTCTCTGACAAATGGGTACAGGTTTATGCAGGGAAAGATTTACAGGATGTTTAGAGCTTGACTTTCAATTGCATTTCAGTAATTGGAGGGAAGGAGGAAGGGGGTACATGTGAAACGACAACCCTAAAGCCCAGAGTCTGACCGTATAAGGCATGCACAAAACACTTCAAGGGTTGAAAAATAGATATGAAAACTATCAAGACCCTGAACTGTCTCTTGGAGTTTATATGATCGTTCAGGTTTGAGCCCTGGATCCATCTTTACAGTGGGAGTAAGCACTGCCTCGTTGGAGTCTTTTCCTCTTCACATGATCTTAGCCAAAAGGCCGAGAAGCAATGGAGACTTTCCCTCTTGTACTCTCTAAACAATGGGAGCAAGACATTAAGAAAGAAACACAATTACTTGTCTTGAGTTTGAGCTAGGAAGCTCATATACAGATACATAGTTCCTAGATACGTATACATGTGCACAAACATACACACACTCAAGTAAAGAAGACATATACTTAATCAATTCATTTTATATTAATCTAAATAGTCAAATGTCAGCAGAGCATTGCTTAATTGCTTTATACAAACATGAGATTAAACAAATATGAGATTAAAAGATATGTATACTCATTTTACCACTTTTTTGCACTTAATATATTTCTTGTTACAAGCCCACAATAGCAGATATTCTTCTGCACATTTATTTTGCTGCCTAAAAAATTCTGCATTTTACTGGTAGTCCCTGTGGTCCCATCTCGGGCCTCAGTCTGTTGCTGGGCCGTTTCTCTGTGTGACCCGCACCCCATATAGCACATCCTGCAGTGCAGCACGGGCTACGGGTCTCCACGCAAGTCTCTCCTCCCTCATTGGGTCATCCTGGTTTCTATTATTTTCCCTCCCGGCATTTCTGTCCATCAGAAGTAGCCTTTGCTGGGTCCCAACCAGGTTATTTCCCCACGGTGGGGAGTACTGTATGCTCTTGGCTCGATAAAATTACATTTCATGTCTGCATTTGTATGCTGCAAGTTTGTCTAAGAACCGGTGGCATTACAGGCACCCTCTAGGGTAGAGGTAACACCCCTGCTCTCTTTACATTCCAGTGAAATAAGAATTAGCATACTGTCCTCACATTTTGGGCTAGCACGCTATGTAGGGCTTCATTGAACAATAAATCTATAAGGGATTTCACCTACAGAATCATTTGGATAAAATTCTTCCTCTACCTTGATCTGGACAATATTGCCAGAAATTAGGAGCTGGTGGAACAAGGAGCTTAACTCTTAGGCTAACTTTGGGTAGGCTCCCTATCTATATTTTGACTTCTTTCTCAATAATGAATTAGACCTCTCCAGCTTGATCTTTTCTTGAAGCAAATGTTACATTTGATTAATGTGGTTTTGATGAAACAATCACTCCATATGGGACTGTTCTGCCTTTACCTAGAGGTGAATAGAAAGTAAGGGCATCCCAAAGACTTTGTTCTAGTCTCATGTATTCTCTCTCTTTTTGCTTTTATTAAAAGAATCTTTTTAAAAAATTGAATATATCAATTTGGCAGATTAAAAGTTCCTAAATGATTTAACTATCATACTGAAATCTGGAAACTTCAAGGTGAAAGGAAAGTTGGAGTGCAGCTCTCCTCTTTAGCAACACTGAAATGAGCATTCAATTTCAGGCCAAAGACGTGTCTCTCAGTAACTGTACAGATTTTAAAACTGCATTCTGCTTCCATCTTCAAAACCCCAGATTTTGCTTTATTGAGCTTGCTATTCACACCCTGTACTGTTCAGAAATGTTATTTGGGCCAAACTTAGCCATTGACGATCCTCTAATGACTTGAGTTTTATTTTGTAATTGTGTCAGCAGCAAGCAACAGCCACTGGTCCCCCAAATAAGAGACATATACGTATAGACAACACATGTATCTACTGAAGAGTCTTTATTCTCATAAATCACCTAGTCCCAGTCTTTAACCTTCATATCTTATCAGCTACATTTCATGACCTGTACTTGAGTGAAAAAATAAATAAATAAATTAGCTGAAAATATTGTGTGCTGGTGACCTCCTTGGTCTTTTAACAAAGCGCATGGTAAAAGTTCACATACAGATCAGCTTGTCCCACCTATGCCAAAAGCCACAGCCCGTGAGTCACTGCCAGAAGACCTCTGCTCTTAGGGCAGTAATTTGGAGATGACACCTATATGTGTGTGGTAGATGGAGCATATTTGAAATATCTCTTTTTTGTTCTCTTTTTGTAGGTGACACTGGGGCAGGAAAATGACTAGTTGAAATTTGTAACTGCAGTTACTCAGGACAAAAGGGATTGAAAAACATCTTTTCTAACTTCTTTGAGTTTTCTTCTTCCAGTTTTCCTTAAGAGAGATGTGTTTTGAGCACATGTCTGGCTTTTTAGGAGAAACTTTCCTTTTGTTGCATTCTGGAGCACTCTGTCAGATAATGGTTCTCCCTTTTCACCTTGACTATATTAACTGGGAATATCACCAATTAACAACAAATCTAAGGTTTCTTAGTGGAAAGAATCAGGTTATTAAATCCACAAATCTCTTAATAGTGTCTAATCTTTTCTTTAAAAAAGTATAGTGACTTTTTAATTGAATTATTTTGAAATCGGAGTTAACAGGAATTGCTAGTGCTAAGCAATTTAGTCTATGTGCCAGTTGATCTTGGTTGTCAACTTTACTGGAATAAGGCGATTGGACTGTAAGAGCCCCGACCTCATCAACTGATGACTCCAAGGTGGGGCCTATTTGAGGTAAGTATATCGTGTGGATGACCTTGGTGTGTATAGATGTGGTAGAAAATCATGCTAAATGTTTACGTAAAAGGGAATTGACTACAGTAAAACACTCATTGTCAGTAATTCCCTTCAGTATACTCTCCCTTGCTTTGAACACACATATCTCATTCTTTTGGCTATCACTGACCTCTGCAGTAGGTTCTGATCTACAACATAAGGCTGAGAAAAAACTAAAAGAACTAAAGAGACTCAGAAACTGGGGAGCCAGGATGACCAATGCTGCTCATTCAGCAAAGGCACTGGTCAGTCCAAGCCACTGAATTTCACTGATAATCAATTGGGATAAAGGCGAACTACATACTAAAGGGGAACTACTTGTGAGGATGTGCAGTTGTGCGGTTACCATGGATACTAATGCAAGCAAGGCTTGTAAAGGACAAGACAAAGCACTCTTGAATTAGGAACAGAGTAGACAAAATATAGTTATAATTAAATCTTTGTCTGTCTATTCAAGAAGGTTTTAATTGTGGGAATGGAATTTGGGTGCCAGTTACTCTGACCTTGGCACGTAGGCTTTGGTCAGACTCACTTCTGTAACCAAGCCAATTGAGGGGTTTGCTCTTCCCAGCCTGCACTGCTTACAGCCTGCTTTTGGCACAATCATTATTGTGGTCCCCTACATTTAGCCATTTTCTGAAGCAGTTTTGGAAGTCTTTATTCATAAGTGTCTTTAGTTATGCTGTCATGGCTGTCTCGATGTCTTGAATCAATTTAAAACATTTACTTTTCATGGTCATTTTACATTTTGGAAAGAGCTAGAAGTCACACAGTGCCAGATAAGGTGAATAAGGTGGATGAGGATTCACCATAATGTTTTTAGGAGCCCCCCTTTCCCCTGGATGGTGCTTGGCAGCAGCATTCACCATGTTTTTGATCATACATCCCAAAGACATGACAGAGTATTAAGGCTGCAAGGCAATCTTGGAGGTATAACCAATCAAAGTACTTCTACACCTCACTTCCTTTATGTCTATAAATACTGCTAGGCCACCTTGCAGTGAAAACTTCTCTGACCGTCTGATTCTGAGGCCTGCCAGGTTAGTGAATCATTCTTTGCTCAAAAAAAAGCTATCAAATTTAACTTGTTTAAAGGGATTTTTGTTTTGTTTTGTTTTTAAATAATGTTGACTGAGCTCTTTTCTACTTGAGGAGATGTTGGACAGTTAAATCCAGAATCAAAAGCCCTAACTCTATCACAGAGTAGCTCAATAAGTGAACAAAGAGGATGCCCAGATTTTCCATTCTGCATCTTCCTAATTTGAAAATGGGAGTAATAATAGTACTTTCATTTAAAGGGGTTATTTCATGACATTTTTGATGTTCTGTTGAGTTCTTTTGCCTGCTACTGTGCTAAAAATACACACGAGGAAAATAAAAGATTCATTTCAACTCATTTTTTCTTAAGAATCTTTATTTTATCTCTAAAATGAAACCAAGGTAGAGGAAACCAGAAAAATATGAGTACTGAGAGAAATGCTTTAATAAATATCCTGTGTTCTCTTCCACAGGGAAGTCTGACGTGCAAAGTGCTGAACATTTCCATTGTGTCTCCTCCTGTTTTTGAAAATGTAGCATGCAGTGCTTCTGCTAATTAGTCATAATATGATTAACAGATGGTGAAATCTAAATTTGTGGGAGAAATATGTGTAAGTGTGTGTGATTACCTAGAGCTATCTATGTACCCTTTAAGGATAAAAATATGTCAGCACACTTCTATTTGTGAGTATGTCAGTGCTGCGATTTCAGGAGAAGTAAGAAATATTATTATAAAGTTGAAATATGAGGCTTATAAAATACCTTTGGGGTTTATTCCCTAGCAAAGATTATACTAATAGAATCCACGTGATCCTTTCTTGACTGAAAACTAGAAGCATATTTCAAATACTGGGACTGATGGTTACATTATTTGCTCTCAGTCTCTGTGTAAGTATAAATTCCTTTTGCTCTTTACAAGACATATTTCACTATAAACCTGGCTTTTGTAATATAAATGAACATTTTTAAGTTAAAGAGTAGTATAATACTTATTGATGTCTTAGGGTTAGGGATCGAAGCGTGAATAATTAAGAAAATGTCACTTCCATTTTTTTTTTTTTTTTGGTGTGGTCTTCTTAAATATTTAACAATATGTGTGGCATCTGACATTTAGTTTAATTCTAAGAATCTAGGTAACTATGCAATCTTAATAGAGTTCAAAGACAGTTGTGCACAGTCTATCATATTTAATTTGGGGTCAATATTGCTGAAGTTACATTTCTGTGATTTGCAGTGAAGGAGCTATTCTATAAAAACCAGTGGAAAACATGGAAGAATTTGTCACTCACCTCCCAGTAGAAGTCATTTATGGAGACTTATCTTTCCATCTTTTCCATCCAGAAAAGCTGCCCTCAGCTCTCTGGTACAGGAAACCCTCCAAACAACCCGTGGTGTTTTGCAAATTATAGGTTACTTCTCATATAGTTTGAAAATACTTTTCTTTAAGAGTTAAGTAGCACGGTTGCTAGTTTGTAACCATGACAACCTTGCATTCATATCCTTACTTTACAATATGCTTTCTTAAGAAGAGAAGGCAAAGGGGAGAGTAGCAGTTAATGGCAAAGCCTGCATAATCCAGTTAATGACTAATCCTGTTTAACATTTCTTTGTGAAACAGTGTGCTGTACCTTAAAAGATGAGCAAAAATCAACAAACTTTTATGTTTCCCTGGGCTTTTGAATTTTTTCTCTAGTTTTGTTTTCCTGGGGCCCTTCCTGATATAATTGTTTTTAAAAAGCATTATTAAGAAAATAATGCAGGGAAAAGGGTATGGTCGTTTAAACCATAACAAATGGACTACACTCGGGAACTAGCAACATAGGGAAGCCACTGTTATCCTTAAGCTCTTGGGCTGATTTTAGGGCTGCGCAACAGAAATCTTCGGGAAGTTCTGAGTCATAAAAGAGCGACCCTCCCTGGGAGTTATACCTACGTAGTTCATTCGGCAAACATCCAGACAACAAGGGAAGCAGGAAGAGGAAGTAAGCAGGTCAACATCAATTTCCTTCTTTTCTTTTCCTGCTGGTACTTTCCACTGGCCAAGTGACACAGTCTGAAGAACCCTGCATCCCAGGCACAGGTCAGGTAGAAGAGGGAAGAGGATGAGTTTGAGAGAAAAGAGATCATAGCAAAAGCATTGACTTACGTAAAGAAAAAATAAAATGTGAAAAATCAGCTTCTTCTTTCATCCAGATGACATTTGTCCAAGGCCAATTTCTGTATATCTAGGGGAAGAAATAAACAGAAATATCCTGCTAGGAAAATCTGAACCTAATATGTTATCCATGTTAAATAGTCTCGGGACATGTTTTGGTAGTGATGATTCTTGGTAAATGAAATTTTCACTCTGGATATTCTCACTTTCATCGGGGGAGCTGAGTACCTACAATGGGAATTCTATGATATTTTTTCTGTGAAAATCCAGAAGGTAGTAGCGATTGCCTTTAGTGACTGGTCTGGCTTTGTTAATGCTATGGCAGGTAGACGGATTGTCAAGTAATACATTAATTCATCTGCTTCTGACAAGTGTGATCCTCTATTTCAGTGTGTGTCATGACTACTATTCCTAGAAACAAAGGAAGAAAAATTATTAAGCCATTAAAAAACCTCTTGAATATTCATAACAATATGCCTATGCATGATTATTTAGAAGAGAAAGTCACTATCAGATGAATAAGTTAAAAATGTATCATTTTTCTTCCTTTAGCCTTATTCAGTCAGTTTCAAGGCAACTACGTACAGTTAATCCTCATTATTGCTAAATTATTTTTGTTTTGGAGTCTCTAGTAGGAAAAGGGGGCAGACTATGGGGAGCCGTCCACATCAAGATTAGCACTTGAACAAATAAAGCACTTTACTTGTTATATATTAATCATGGATTAATGGGGTATAGGAATACAATTGGCTCAGTAAGTGCACAAATTTTTCTTAATCAGAAATTTGCTTGAGGAACACTTTTTATAAGAGGAAGATCGATTAATAACAATGTTCCTAAACACAATGAAGAAAGCATATGCCCACAGAGTTTGTTAGAATCCCATGCATGTACATTACAACGACTTAGCCTAGGGCAGTTTCAGATATAATTTTCCAGTCTTCTACTGGTGATACCTGTAATTGATCCAAAATGTAGAGATGATCAAAAAATTTCATACAATGTATATTTGGAAATTTTAATTATAAATTCGGAGTAGATTCAAGTGAAAATACCCAATATAGACAAAGATAATGAAGAGAAGCGCATTGGTGATACTAATTTTCCAATTAAATAAGTGATATACTAATCATTTTATACGTATTTATGCATATGTATATTTAGCATTTACAGTTTTAAAGTTTAGTTAACTTTCATTGTTAATACTTCTCTGAATGCTGTTATTAATTCAGTGTCTTTATTTCATTATTCCTCATAACACTTTGACCTCCTTGACTAGACTAATACATTCTCAGCATATATCATGAATCTTGACTCATAAAAATACATTAAAATATTGAATCAAATACATAAATGGTTCTAATATGAGATATTGTCAGTTAAATTTTAATAACAATAAATTACTGTGTAGCACTTTGATTCAAAATAAAAGAAGATGATATCTACATATTATCTTTTCTTTTTAGAGAACTTACTCTGTAGAAGGCCTTGATAACTCTCTAGAACATCTTCTCATAATGTTGTTTCCCTTTTGAAAATGAAAACTCAGTAGAACCACTGATTCTTGTCAGTTAGAAAAGTGTTGGGCTCTAAATAACAATAAAAAACAAAACTGGATTGTCATAATTTAAACAAATATAAGAATTATTTAGCTATGCCAGTCAAAGTCAAGGATTAAGACAGCTTCTCTCTTATCCCACTGTGCTTGTGGCTGCAGTATCGGGCCCAGTATTCAAGGAAGAGCTGCAATCCTCTTAGCCAGCCTACATGTGCTCAAAACAGAAGCGTGGGAGGAAAGAGCAGCATCAGCTGCCTCCAAAGCCTGCAATCAAGAATGAAAGCCTTTCTCAGACGTTTCTGCACCTAATTTTACTTAGTTGGTGTCATAGCTTGTGTTTAGATGTCCCCCAAAACCTCAAGTGGTCTTAGGTGGGGTTTTGATTCATGGTGCAATACTAGCTCAAGGGCCCTAGGATTAGGATTAAAGGTGTGAGTTCCACCAATCTAAGTAGTTTGATAAAATAAAAGAAAGGGGCTGTTGGAGCCTTGGGGTCAGCTGCTTATAGACTGAAACCTCTACAAACTGTGAGCCAAATAAACCTTTCCTCCTTTAACTTTGGATGTTGGGTATTTTGTCTCAGCAATGAAAGAAAAGTAACTAAGACTGTTGGCACTTACTATAATTGGACTATTGTATTCTTTCAACATATTTTAACTGAAGATGAGCTAAAAATGCCAGAGAAGTGATAGGAATATGGTAAAATATGTTAAGGCAAGAAATCAGCTGCTAGGTATGGCTTTACATCACAGGCACTGCCTGTTTTCTGCTTGATATCCATCCGTGTCTCCCAAGTCTTTGCTCCTAATAGGCCCCTGGTCTGATTCATACAGACTTAAGCCCAACAACAGGAATGAACCCGTGTGATGCGAGGGAATGACCACCAGCTTGGATGCCCGGAGATCTGGATTCTAGTCCCAACTGTTCCCGTGGCAAGCAATTTAAAATCAGCCCTCTTTGGGCCTGTTAATTCATCGATACAAATTTAAAAGTTGGAAGAGATGGTGGATTTCAAGCTGTGTTATGCAAATCTGAAGTTATGCAGAAATATCTAGTGTTCTCTGTGGAAATACAAGTAAGAAAGACACTGAAAAGGAAGCGCTATGGCCTCTGCTTAAAACAGATGAAAGTGTAATTACTCTAGTTAATTTGTTGAGGCTCCCTGAATGTTTCCTTTGCCAAAAATGTACTATGCTATTAAAAATGCTTTAAAAATCAGTGGACAAGATGATTTGTTAGGACTTTTTCATCTATTATATGTTTAATGATATGCTTGGTATATAAAATGGAAGAGAGATGAAACGTTATGTCTCCCACCAAGTCTAGAGGCATGAAACCCTCCCCCAACACCATAGCCATACACCGGTTGGGTACAAGTTTGTTCTTATTTATGGAAACTCATTTTTAGAAGTATCAGTGAATTATGAGGGAGGAAACTCAACTTCCTGTATTTTGATTGCAATGTACATTAAGACTCATTTCCACACTATGAGGAGAATAACTACAAAATATCGAAATGATTACAATGTGTGCAAAGTCACATATATGACCCTGGTAAAATTAGAATCCATAAAATTAGGACAAAGACTGACAAAAACAATGTAGTCAAAGCATGGAAACTGGGAGTATTAAGTTCAGTGAAATGTCTACTATATGCAGAAGAAAATTAGGTAAAAACGCCTTTAACCTCCGCAAAATTATAGAGATCTTATAAATTTAAACTGCTTGTAAGCTTATAATACAACTGTAGTACATGGACAAAGGGAACTTAGAGGGTTTTTTTGCCTTAAAAATAAATGAATTCACATTGTATGTTGTTAAACACTGGCTCTTTCTTCTAATAAAAATTCTTTGGTATTATTCAAAAGCAAAGCAGTGGTTAAGGAGCACGAATGATTCAAAGATATATTTTCAAAATTAAAATGAATTCAAACATGTCTGAATCACTCATTCTGGAAAGTTCCTCCTGTTAAACACAGTCAAGCATGCAAAAAATAGGGAAGGTATGATTAAATTTAAGTTAGGCAATTAAAATACAGAAAGAAATTTATTTAAAAGTGATGGCACACAATCTTAAAAAGTGGAAATTCTGAATACATTTTAGCTCTTATCTCATCAAATTTTCAGAGCAATCGTGTAACATGGCTATTATTTTTATCCCTACTGTCCAGATAGGATGTCTGGGAATTGGGAAGTAACTAGTCCAAGCTGATAGCTGAGAAGTAGCACCCTACGCCTCTTGATTTTTGAGATGTTTGTGCTCTGAACCATTGTACTATAATCCATTTCAGATGACACTTATTCCAAGACATTTCTGTTTCTCCAAGCCTTCTCCACCCCAGCAGCTAATATTATCTTCTGCTAACAAAGGAAATTGAGAGCTTGGATTAAATACTTTGTCATCTGCATTTTTTTTCCTCTCTGAAGACAATAATGAAGGAAACAAGATGAAACCAGGTGCAGATAAAAGTCTTTCCCAGTAATTCTCTCACCTCTGTCTTTGAGGGCAATGGTTTTGTTTTCACCAATAATCTGTGGTTCCCCGACCCAAAAGCCCATCTTTTTGGTTTTCCCTCATAGGACTTCTTCATCGCATTGCTCTGTCTAAAGAACCACAAGTTGTTTGGGCTTCCACACAGCAATCCTGTCACTGTAACCACACTGTCATCATAACTGCTCTTTAAATTTTCAAATAACTTCTTCTCCTAATCTCACTCCATTAAGAAGGACCCGGAGACAGGCAGGAATGGGAAGAGCTTGGTGGGAATATAAGGTTTCAGATGGACAGAAGCAATAAACTTCTAGATCTACTGCACAGCAGGGTGACTAAAACCAAGAAAAATGTTTCCCTACACTCGTAGTCCCAATACTGGGGAGGTTGAGACAGGAAGATCCCTATGAGTTCAAGGCCAGGCTGGGCTACATAATGAGCTCAAGGTTGGCCTAAAATACATAGCAAGACCCTGTCTCCAAACACACAAACAACAGACAAACAATTTGTATGTTTCTAAATAATAAAAAGTAAAATTGAAGTGTCTCACCATAATAATAGTCAATGAGGTGATGGAAATTTTAATGAGCTTGATTTAATCATTCCACATTGTATACACATATCAGAATTTAATTCTGTACCCTACAGATGCAATCATGACTTGACTATCTCAATAACAAAAAATGTGGCTCTCCAGGCATGCCGATGGGCTCTTACTCATCATTTTTACTAGATGTTACTGTGATACTTGACGTTGTCGATGACAGTTTTTCCCCTTGAAATTCTCCTTTTTACCTAGAAAAGAATGTTTTCTCTTCAGTATCTTATTTTGGGGGTGTCCCCTACTTTTAGCTCGCTCCCTTCCTCTTAGCTGTGCTCTCCTCCAGTGTCAGTGTTTTCATCGTGCCTATGTGCTTCCCTGCCTTGCCTTCTTCTGGGTGATTCCACAGAGTCCACCTGAGGCTGCTCCTCTGTCCTGCTCACTCCTCTGAGCTCTGCGTCAGCTGCCTTGTGCCTTGTGTAACCCTCCACTCCACTACATACATTTCTTGATCCTGAAAATCAACATCTAAATTCAGATCTTTTAACCCAAATCGTCTTCTACTTCTTTCTTTGTCCTTAAACTTCTCTCCTCCTCCCCCTCAACAATCTAACCTCTCCCCTCTCCTCAGTGCCTCTCCTGGCTTTGTGTTCTTCTGTTTTACAAGCGAGTTCTGAGTGCTCCTCCATCATTTGCAAAAGTAGCTTCCATTACAAAACCTCACTCTTGCCCTGTTGCATGACTGTTACCCACGAGTACAAATGCTCCATAGTCCTCTCCATCTCTCTAGATTAAATTCACTACAGTGAGAATTCAGTTTTTTAACTGAATAGACCTGCACTTAAAATTCTCCCAGTTCCTCGTATCACCATTTTCAGATTCAGTAATTTAAAGTCCCTCCACAATATCTCGTAAACCAGAGCTTGCTCTCTTGGTATTTCCACTGTCAGATCGCCTCTGACAGTTTTGCAGTAGTTTTCTCTCTGGTCTCACAGTAGTCTCTCTGCCTATTCTTACACATTCCTAGGTCGACACAACTGGAGCTCAATGCTAACCATGCTTTCCCTAGGCTCATAATTTTTCTCTGATCATTCTATAACATTTCCCCATTTCCTGAATCCACTACTCATTTCTGTGTTTCTACGTCCTTCAGCATTATTCACCCTACATTCCAATATAAATAGATAGACTGCATCATTCCTTCTCACTTCCGGACCCAGTGTTATCACCTTGTCTCCTCTTCTCTCCTCTCATCTGTACAAATCCCATTACATCCACCTTTGAAGACAAGTTAAAATGCTTGAAGACATATCCAGTATTTCCTGTATATTATCGGTATTATGGTGATATAATCACAAATGTTTACATATGGCCAAACTCATCAATTATACACATTAAATAATGCAGTTCTGTGTATATCAATTACACTTTAATAAATTTGCTTTAAAACATGATCCATGCAAAATTTCCTCGTCTATTAGATCAGCACCAATTCCTTTCTCTTTTGGCTTCAATGGCACATCAAATCTGTGTCAACAGCTTATCATTTTTTAGGCTTTTATCGATGTATTACAATATTATGCACTGAGCACTTCTTATTATGAGTCATAATAGAGGGTTATAATGGAGAGGCAAACAGACTCCAGAATGTACTACATAACATTCAGGAGCCAGCGGGAGACAGACACAAGAGCTGTGGGTGACTCTGGACAGTAAGTGCGTGCGGAGCTCAGGAGAAAATTGATCCTGAGGAAATCACTTCTGTGTTGAGACATGAACAGTGAATAAATACAAATATTGATCCTAAGGGACTCACCTTTGTACCGGCAAAGACATCATGTGCTTTGCTTTCTTGTCTTCTGTAACAGGAAATATTTGTTGATTGAAGGCATCTCGATGTTACTCTGTACTTATTCCATCACCCGGGCATCTATCACCTTCAAAGACCACATAAGAGGCAGCCTATGCGAATTAGAGGTCCTCATGCTATGTCAACAGCACCTGTCTCTACTTAGCCCCAGCGTCTTCTTGGCAGCCGATGCAGGGGCTGGTGACCCACACTGTGTTCCGGGAAGCTGTATCATCTTGCTGACACAGTGCATTGGGATACAATAACAGGTGTCACCTTGAGTCATCAGTCTTTCCCAAGGAACTTTTCTTCAGGAAACAAAATCTCCTGGTATTCCAGCGTCTGACACACAGCCAAGCATGTCCTTGTCAGGGAAATAAAGTGTTGTCACAATGAAGTGGGTTCCTGCTGCTTCCTAATGCCAAAATCTTGATTTGCATTGATCTCATAGTGGTATTGTTTTCTCTCCTGTAAGGCACTTGATGCAGATATAATCATTCCAGTTCTCAGATGCCACTGCTTGACATCCATTGCTGAGAAATGACTCAGTAGATTGCTCTCGGTGGCAAGGAACTTAGCCATCTAAGGATCTAAATCCAAAAATGGAAGTGAAATTGTTTTTTGGATTTTTTTTTTTTGCATCTCAAAAGCATATTATAACAATTAGGAGTGTTGGCTGGAGGACTCTCTGGAGAAAGATTTTAAGTTTATTCCAAGCTCAGTAAAACAAGGTCATCTCACTCTCTTTTAGATTTCAACCTCTTCTTTTTCTTGCTTTACAAAAGAAGGAGAAAAAAAAAACCCTAGGTCATTCTTTCTTACTCTTTCATATTTTTTTTCAGATTATCATTCTTACATCTCAAACCAGGGTTCACTGAACTCCACATTCACTGTAGGCCCTGAATAATCAATCACTACAATTGCTGTCTTACTTTCCACTCCCCTTTTACCTTCTCATTACTCTTATTCATTTTAAATCCTGAAAGAAGATATATATTATCACCTATCTGGACTCACCTATGCATCACTCATCCAGAATACATGAATTCCCATACTGCTCACTTTTGAAGTGAGTTAAAATAGAAAGTTAGATCAGCTGTGACAACAAACACCTATAGAGTTCCTACACTGCATAATGTATTGCTGTGCTCTTCTGGCAAGACATACATCAATGAAAGAGAATGCTAGAGCTCAAAAACTAGGGCTGCCACATGTTTGCATGTGTTCCTTGTACTTTTTGGAATTGGTGGTATTGGCAAGTTAAAATGATGTGATTCTCCTGATTTAAATTAATCAAGAAATTCTTCCTGGAGTTGGTAAGTCATTGTGACAACTTTAAAAGAGGCATGAGTGAAATTTAGTTTCCTAAATTGAAAATTTTCCTAGACCATTTGGATCTAAACTTCTAAATTATTCTGATTTTGGTTCCTCAGGGCAAAGGATTAAATAATGTGTATTTCTATTTAGCTATTGCTTCAGATTTAATGCGTACTGAGATTTTGGTGTCAAGGGTTGTCAGACCTTTCCATTGAGAGGGAGACAGATGGAGAGGGGGTGGGAGAGGGAAGTGGGAGAGAGAAATAAGCTGACCCAGGAGAAATTTATTTCATCATATACTCTTCATTCCATCTTTCTCAAGACATTTTCTCCCAGTAAAAGAGGTCACCTTTATAAATTGAGAATAATTCCTCTTTAGAGTTTGGCTAAATTGTGCAGGCATAGTGGTGCACACCTGTAATCCCAGCACTCAGAAGGCTAAGACAAGAGCATTGCCCCAAGGTCGAGGGCCGCCTGGGCTGCACAGAATTTGGCTAAATTAATATCATTCAATGTTTTCTGTTGTTGTCTTCCAGTAGTACTAGAGATTGAACCCAGGGCTTTTGCACTATTCTACATCCTCAGCCCTTTTATATTTTTTCTTTTAGGCCAGGGTCTTGCTAAATCCTGAAGTTGCCCAGGCTCAGCTGCTGTCTCAGCCTCCCAAAGTTCTAGGATTACAGGGATGCACCATCACAACTAGTTTCAACTTGTTATAAATTTTGTGCAATGGCATATGAATACTCTATAAATAAAATGACTCCTTTTAAAAGAATTATATCAATTGGCTTGCATAGACCTTATAGTTTTATCATGTTTATTTTATCTATCCATAAGATCTAATTTCATAATTTTTTCAACATAGTATTGGATGATTATTTTAACTGATTTTTCATTATTTTGTTTGTTTTTGACAGATAAAGATTTGTCAGGCTATTTTTATACTTTTTTTCTTTTTTTTTTTGGTACCAGGGATAGAACTTGGGTCCTTGCACTTTTGAGGTAGGCAGTGGAACCACTGAGCTAAATCCCTAGCTGTCATGCTATTTTTACTTAACGTGTAATAATTGTACATATTTATGTCATACAGTGTGATAACTTGATACATGAATGAAATGTGTAATAAGCAAATCAGGGCAATTAAAATTTCCATTGCCTTTAACATTTATCATTTGTGTTGAGACCTTTGAAACTCCTCGTGTCTAGTTATTTTGAATAATATAATAAAATATTGTGATCGATAGCTACTATATTATCCTACTATGAGCCATTTGTGCTCAGAATCATTTTAACCTGGAATGAGGGGATGCTACAAAAAGTTTATTCAAAGAGTTTGTTAGGTTTATTGTTGAAAGGATGAAGATCCACTCAGAAAGGCAACTTCCATGAGGGTCATGATGAATTAGTTTACACAGTTAAAACTTACAAATTATGAAAACAACTAAAATAACACAATGGAGTGAGATGAACAAATCTACAATTATGGGTCCAAAGCTATTTGAACACCTTTGAAAAGCCCCCCTTTACTAAGAACAAAGTGGGAGGAAGGAGTTTGCCCAGATTCTGCTGCACAAATATCTCTGTCCCTGTCTCCCAGTGACTTTTGTCGTAATATTCTGGACTTTATGCTGCTTGTGTTGAATTCCCACTGTATTTTTAAAATGTTCATGAGTCTGAGTTTAGGAGGTTGAGTGGTGTGTGGTAAAGTATTCCAATCCAAATTTCACTAGGCTTCAACCGTTTTGCTATAGAATAATCTACCATGCATGTTAAATAATAAATGTTCTCTAGTCTATTATTTTATAAAGAGTTATGTATGCGTTAAGTAAGAGTAAGTATGTCAGCATTTAAATACGTTTGGGGATTGTTCAGTATAATGTTCAAATACATATTAAGTATTGATAAAAACACAGTAGAGAGTTATCAGCAATTCCTGCTCCAGTTAGTCTACTTCCATCATCTTAAATATTGGGTACCGTCCCCTTTATCTACACATATTGAAAGGTTTCTCAGCCTCCATCTTCTCAAACTCCTAGTGATTCTTTTAACTTTGCATACATGGGAAGCCTGGGGGAGGTTAATTGGCATCCACTGCAGGGACAGGTGAGTCAACGGCAGAGCCAGAAATAGACGCAGATGCTCATCTCTTCTCATTCTCGTGAACCACATGAGAAAGCACTTTCTGCTTATAAATACATTTAATGGCATGACTCCTGGAACTGTTAATTAAGAGAGTTTCAAAATCCCTCCCATTTCAGTCCAAGATAGACACTTCCAAGTTGGGCACATTGTGATGGAAAGTTTGGAAGATTTGTGCCAATTTGTTGACAACTGAGATTTAGCTCTCCACTTTGAAACTTAAAAAAAAAAAAATGGTGATAAATAAAAATCAATTTGCACATAGTTCCCTTCACCAACACTTACTAAGTGTGCTGTGCTTCGTTTAGCGCTGATGGATTGTGAAATTCGTGTTTGTGGCCAGACAGCAAGACTATGTTTATTTTATAGGAACATGTACACATGAAAGGCATACATGGGTAAAGTGCAGAGAAAAACTCAACGAAAGTCAGCAAAATCTATACTGGTTTCATCTGTCTTAGTGGAATGGCTGATATGCATTTAGGAATTTCTATCAATGATAAATTCACAGGCACAGTAAATGTATAGACATCATTAAAGAGCAGCAGCTGCCAAAATTGATAACAATGATAAATAGTCATAATAATAATAGGGCCTTAATCATTATTATATGCAAGTACGAGGAAATTAATGGTTTTTCACTTCTGCTGGATAAACAATGTTCACAAAACTGGTTTAGTTTTGGATTTTTTTAAAGAGAAGGCAATTGATTATACTTTTATTAGAATAGCCTGAGTAGAGAAAGCCTTTGAAAATTGTTGATTGAAAAATAGAAGCTATTTAAGTAGAGAAATAAAAGAGCCATGAGAGCATTATATAGACAGAGTGGTGGGCTCCTTCCAGAGGACACCAGAAGAGGTTGCTAAGGCAACGAGTAGAAGCTGTGACGGCGTGGGCTTTTACTCCAAACAAGGGAGAGATTCTTAACAGAGATGTGAAAAAAATAGAATTACTTCAGCTATGTATAAAGTGGACACCCCATACTCTGTGGGATGTCCAGAGAAGGGGTCCCAAAATCACATGAATCATTGATTTAGTTGGAATTTAAGTATGAAGAGACCATGCTTATTCTGACAAGATAGGTACCCAAGCAATCATTTCTACGGGGGAAGTCAAGACAGAAAAAAAGAGAGTCCACTGTGGACAAAACGGGAAAATTGGAAGCTGAGTGGAGGTTAGAGTTTTCGTAAATAAGAAGGAACACCTAGGGCATTCTAAAGAGTGGAAAGAGAAAAATGAGAAAAATTTGAGTGAGTTCATAAGAAACTGTCAAAAGAGTAGCCTCAATAGAATAGAACATGCATTTCGAAATTGTAAAATATATTCCAATGGTAAGAAAGGAATAAAACTTAAACGCCAGCAATATGGCTCTAATTCAGTTTGACAAATAATTTATGGTGAGAAGAAAAGAATCAGAGTTTGAAAGCAGAAAGATTCAGGTTCATATCCTGGTTAAACTCCCTATCTAAAGTAGTCAAATTCTTAGAAATAGAATATTGATTACCAGTGGCTCGTGAAGGGGAGAAATAAGGAGTTGTGATTTAATGGGCATAGAGTTTTAAATTACTAAGTTTAAGAAGTGCTAGAGGTCTGATTTGTAGCACTGTGAATATATTTCAGTCTACTGAACTGCACATTTGAAAAAGGTAAGATGGTAAATTTTGCATTATGTATATTTTTATCACAATAAAGCAATACCAATAAAGCCTCCAAAACATATATTTAAACTCTTAGAAAATTCCATTTGCCCTTCTGTGATGACTTTTTATGTTTGTTTGATACTGAGTTCTGTTAAA